CAAGCAAAGTCAGTGGGGGAAGCAGGTTCCACATTTTGGATTAAATGCTCAGAAAATATCTTCCCTGTCTCTTTCACTGCCTCCCAGCTCCCTCCCTGCTTTGAGCCAACATCAGATTACAGAGAAAAACAGAGACACCCAAAGGGGAAAATAGACTCTGGCTAACAAGATGTGTCAGAGTTTTTTGCAGAAATCGCTTTCAGAAAGCACACATAGATAAATGATTCAGCAGGATTCATTAATTTATTTATATACATAACACCTCATGAGTAGATGTACAATCCCAGTAACTGATTCTTCCGAAGTGATAGTAGTTACAGGCAAAACACAGGCAGAGAAGAAAAGCAGTTTCAGTTCAGCAATCGAATTTGCTTTAGGTTTTTTTTTTTTAAATATTTTGTATTTTTTTTTCCAATAAACTAAATGTTTTTACACACACATAACATAAAGACACAATTTTATCTTCAACAGATTAACTATGCAATTCTTACCAATCTATTTCTGCTTCCCAAAAATCTTCCAGACCAGGGACGATCAAGTGTTCCTGAGTAGTGAGTTGGAGAAGAAGCTGGAAGCTTCCATGAACTTTCATATGCTTCTCGTTCTTCAACAGACCAGTTTCTATTGGAACTATGCAACCTGCCAGATTCCTACAAAAAATATGTTTATTACTTAATGCCTTGCTTGGGCCATCATTCCACACAAGAAAATAAAATCTATAACATCTGCACTTTTTAAATAATCACATTTAAATATTTTCTATAAATCAACTGTTCCTATCCCATCTCAAAAATAAGTTTACCTCATCCTAAGTGGGTCATAACTGTAAGGCTTACTGTGTTAAAAATTCAGCTTCCATTAAATTATTTCCTAAGTAGGACCAAGCATTACTATTCTACTCTCACTGAAGAGAACGACTGAGATTCTGCTATACTGGCAACATTTGAAGCAAATGCAAGGAGTCATGTGAAGATTTTCTATTTTCAGGCACTGAATTTTGCTAACCCTCTAAAATACAAATTAACTCATACCTCACAAATTATTCATATACTTCTTTTAGCCAAAACCAAATCATGTCTACTTATTTAAGGGAACATTTAACTAGTTTTAAGAAAATAAAGTACTAAACAGACAAAAGTGGAAATGAAAAGAAAAAAACCAGAAGTGTATATATTCCTAAAATAGAAATAATTTCTTATTGATTTATAATCAATTAATTCTGTACCAGCAAATCCTGTTTCCAGGGATAAAGCAGCATATACTGTATGCTGCAGAATGAACTGTGGTAACAGCCAAAAATAAGTGGCAGAATACATGCAGAATTCCCAGGCTCAACACCTATAATTTTCAGTCATGTTAGAAAAAATTGCTTGAAAAGCCACTGTTGGTGTCAACAATACTTGTCTAGTTGATCATACTTAGGACATAGCAGTAAATATAACAAAATCCCAATTGAAACTAAATCCCAAATAGATACTAGTGTTATATTTTCTCTGTAAGTTTTTTTCAATAGCTATACAGTTATCATTACAATGAAGAGAGCAATAGAAAGAGAAGGGGTGGGGGATGTATCTTCATGTTTATTATAGGAAATAAAGTTATGCACTTCCATGAACTCCTTCTAGCAAACAGCAAACAGCCTGGTCAGTCTCAGCATAGCCTGATTTAGCACAAGCAGCTGATTGGGGGTTTGATCGGCTTCCTGGAATACCAACGATCAGTTGTTTCAGGCTGCGAGGTTTGTTGCCTATCACCGCCTCCACGCACCCCATTTTCAGCTCCACATGCCCCAGTTTTGGCCCAAAAACCTCAGACAATTTGAACTCATCAACTAGAGAAAGATGGAGAATATACCATCATAAAAGTTACCTGGCGTCCAGAATCAAGTCTTACTGAAGACTCTCTCGTACGGTATGAATCAGTTAAACTTGTTCCACCACTTCCAGCTCCTATCCTAGCACTTCGAGAACCAGATGGCTGAACAGATAACCTCCGTGGGATTCTTGATGGCTTTGATTCCATTTTGTGTGCACTATATTAAAACAAATATTCAACTTTGCTAGTTAATGAACCGTTTAAAATATAGGAAAAGCTAGAGGTTTATAATTTAGATACTAATCAGTGGTTAATTTTGTCCCTATGTTTGTACACTAAACCACTGATCAATATTTTAAATACTACAAATGAGATATAAGCATCAAAAAGATAAATCTTATAAGTTGCTGATGATATTTAGCCAGGGTTAGGGTGCCAGGACACCTGAGAGATGCCATGGAGGTTCAATCTCAGTGCCTAGAGGATGTGATAGGACCTGGATAGGACACAACAGAATTCAACCTAACAAGATCAAGTGGGCTTTGAGTTTTTTGGGCTATCTGATTCTAGAGAGTTTTCATTTTTGGTTCTGATGTGGTAGCACTGCGACAGACAGACAGAGAGCACAATCTGGGTCTTCTTGAACTTGCAGTTCTTGCCTGAGAAGCAGGTTGCAACTGTGGCTAGGAAGGCCTTTGCATAGCTTTTAGATGTCATCAATTCCACCTAAAATCTAGTATCACTTTCTAGAGACCACTAATCTGTAAAATCTGCAAACCCCAAATCCATAAAATCTAAAGAAAGGACATCAATTGGCTAAACATTTATGAAATGTGCATTAGGTGTGAGTAAAGCATAGACACCTCATACATGTATGATTTACATTATAATCAAATTGGACAAAAGTCACCATTAAACATCACTTTTCAATAAATTTTTATTGCATCTTTACACATTCATACACTTCTAAAAATTTAGTTTAGTATATATTATAATACCTTATTTTACAATTCATATTGTCCCCCCGAAAACTGACTGTGGAATATAAAGAATATGCAATTCATTAAACACTGGTTTAGAAACAATTATTTAGACACATGGCCTAGAAGTAAACATAAGTCTTGCAGGCAAATAGAACTTTATCTTATTTTAATGCATATAATGTATCTCTGTATTTAATCAAGTATTCAATATTATTTTGTGTGAGAACCTGTTCTGTCAATCTCTGGTTTTCTACTATTATTATACATATGGATTGATTTTGGAATATTAAAACATTGAAAAATATAACTTAGATCATGGGATGGTTAGCTAAAAATACATCCTTACCAATACTGGAAGCATACCTATATATTAGATATCTATATATCTTAAATCCTTAGGATCTTAGATTTCATTATCAAAAACATATTGCATTTTTTAAAAAAATCCAATACAAGCCAATTAGATTGATAGAGGAGAATGAATCAAAGTACTATATATTGTTTCATTTCTGCACACCTGTAAGCTAGCAAATTCAATATCAAACCAGACCTAAAACAGCCAATATAATTACTTTGAATGTTATTAATGTTGCTACTCTTCTCACAGCCTGAATTCAAATATAATCAAAGTTGTGCCCTATTGTCCTACTTTTGACTATTTTGGCCACAGCAAAATCAAAACTAAAATAGAAGATAAATTAAGCTCTTATCAATAAACAAGAGTACATACATACATCTACCTGAACAATCCAATCTTCCTTTCTGCTCACAAAGGACATGGTATGCAACAGAAAGAAGTTATAATCCTTTTAATGGTGCATCTTAAAACAATATTTCTTTCCTTACAATGTCAATTTCAAAAAACTGTGGCAATACTAAGTAGTAGAAAAAATTGTAGGCTTATTTGCAAACTGATCCATGAGAGTATCTGAGCAATTTCCTATTTTAGAACCCATTTATTTCTACACTATTAATGTACATCTGAATGCAAAAGAAGCAATCCTAAAAAAGTCTCTGTAAAAGAGTTAATAGTCATGTACCGTGTCTCAACATTTTTATAGCAGCTAGTCATTTACCAGTCTTATTTTATAAAAAATAAAATAGTCCAGAAAATTTCAAATATGATTCAAGATCAGCCACAGAATTTTAAATATTGTAACTCCAGGTCACTTTAAGATGAACCAGACAAGTCTTACTGGATTGTTCTAAGTACTAGTTTTAAATGGCAAAACTGCATTAAACAAAAGGAAATGCATTCCAGGTGTGTATTTCAGTAATAGGAGGGCTCATGACTGGTGCTGTGCTTACAACATCCCAATTAGAGGAAGGAAGAGAGAAGCAGTTAAGTACTATTTTCTTAACTGTTCCAGGAAATTAGAGTTTGGTAGCATTTTTTAGACTAACAATTTTATTAAAACATATAAACTTTCAGGAATTGTAGCTCACTTTAACACATATATGGAATGGTTAACAGATTTAAATTAAAATGGGACATGAGGAAGGAGAATGGGTTGGTACATATGAAAATAGTTATAAAAATCTAATGAATTGGCTATTGTAATGTGTTAAAATCATTGTGCTCATCTGAGACCTTCTGGGATAGGCAGAAGAGTGTCTCTCAGATCTTTGAAGCAGATGAAGAGGAAGGATACAAGCAAAGGCAAAGACAGAAGGAACCAGCAAACATAAACATCTTTGTCCTATTCAATCCACAGAATTTAGCTGTATCAAACTCCTGCTGATATAGAAAGAGCAATATATCAATTCACAGGTTTTAGACAAATCCAATTTAGGGCAAGTTAGCACATTTGTTATTCAATAGATAACATCCAGCCTCCATGTTCTCCATCTACTACATAGCCAATTTCACTGTAAAAACCATAGCTAGAGAATTCTTATTTATAGAAGTTACACATATGCCTCATATACACATATGCTCAAATTAGTTGTGATATTAGTCTAGGCCTCATGCTAGAGGCCTCAAAATTGCTTCCTTTCAAAGGGGTCTTATATGGCTTACGTGTATTTGCTGGTGACCAGTAGGAGGCACTACACAACTGGTTTTGTCCTTATTGAGTGTTTCCAGATGGAGGCATCCTCCATAATGGACTTTAAAGAACTAAAGACTATGTAGCATGGGGGATACTTACTTATCCCTTGAAGAGACCCAATAAAGTCAAAAGTGGCCATGTAGTACTTCCTACTTGATCAGTAACTAATATAATACTGACATGGTCATAGGGTTGCAACTAAATACAATATTTTTCACTGGAGAGAAATCATACCCAGTTAGTGAAGGAAAATGAACAAGTCCTCTAAAAATCAGATACTCTCAAAACCGCAATAATTGCTGGGGTTTTTTTTTAACAGTCTGTTCTAAATACTAAAAAAAAAAACAACCACCTCAATCCATCTATTTCAGTGGTTCCCAAAGTGGGGCCCAGGCCCCACAGGGAAGCAATTTGATTTTTAATGGGGGCAATTTGAACCTTGTTTAAACCAAAGTTAATGGCCTTTTAGGCTGGAGGAAACAGAGTTCACTTTTTGAGTAAGTAAGAATTATACGTCACAGGGCGGGGCATCAAGATTTTAGAGATCCTTAGGTGGGGCATGGCCAAAAAAGAGTTGGGAACCATTGAATTCAAATAGATTCTATTTGAATAAGAAATTCAAATTGATTCTATTTAAATACGAAATTCAAATCGAGGCTAAGCAGCACCAAGGGAGAAGCAGCAAACCGAACTGTTATTGGCATTCCTTTTTAATCAGATGATTTTTTTAAAAAAAGGCCATCCTAAAAAGCTGGGGGGGGGGAAGAGACTTGTAAAGGATTAGTCATATAACCTGAATGCCAAGCTGACTCTATAATAAACACCCCAATGACCTCATACTGGAGACAGACCAGGCAACCCCGGGTTCCGACATTAATTTAACCACCTGAATATATGGAGAAGGTTGGCTCCTGACCTCTCTGAAACTGGTTTACCACGGAATAAAAAAACCGCTTTCCTCCCCAAAACCCCTTCTACGCTAGCCGACATTAAGAACAGCGGAAGGTTTCTCTTTCCCGGATTCGATTGCACAACGAAAGCCCCATGGAGGAAGGCGTCTCTTCGTCCCTCCTGCGGACGCGCCCAGAGCAGGCGTGCAAGCCCGGGGTCCGTTTGCCGAGTCAGAGCTCTCTTTCCGAACCGTACAAGGCGAACGGGGAAGGGGAAGGAAACGGGGCCAAGAACTTCGCCGCCCCAAAGCCCCACAAAATGGAGACCTTCCTCCGCTCCCAAAACCGTGGCACTTCCCTCCCGCGAAGTCAGGGGCCTCCGCCCGCCTCTTCGGCTTCGCTTTCTCCCTCCTCCGCAAGGCATCACCTGCTTGCGTTGGCCGCCGTCTCCCCCAGCGCCGCTCGCCGCCTTCACGGGCTCCCCCCCTCCCCAACCGCTCGCCGAGCCGACAATGGCTGCCGTCCGACTACCGTACGGTCTGTCCTGAGGAGGAAGCTACCCCAGCGCCGCCTGCCAATCACCGCGGAGTCAACGGACAAGCCGTCCCTTCAACTCTCGCGAGAAGAGCGGCCCTCTAATCCAGCCCGAAGCTTTTATACGGAAGTGTGGATCTCGGCCTCTCCCCCACAAGACGTCGTGGGGTGAGGCGAACGGCTCACCCGGAGGCTGCTGGGAAAGCGGAAGCGGTGGAGTTGCGTTAGTTGCTCTGAGCTCGCCTGGCGCTGGTCTTCGGTGGCTTCTGACGTATGTCTTACGTCACTGGGCGGCATTACATATTGTGCGGTGGATGGGAGTCTCGGGGCTCTCAGAGAGGGAAAGGTGCAGGCGTGGCCGGGAATAAAAGGAAAGAGACCTTTTTGCAAAATTTAGGGATCTTACCCGTGTACGCTTCACACTACACAAGAGGAACTGATTGCACCAAAGAAGCTGCAATTCGAAAAGAAATTGCAAAAGGTGTTCATGAGCTTTGTTTACTTTATTTATAATGTAGTGGTGTAGGGTCTCTTGCTTGGGGGGGGGTGGACTAGATGATTTCCAAGGTCCCTTCCAACTCTGTTAATCTATGCTATATAAGTGTTGATCTGCAACCCATCAATCCCCAAAACAGGCTGCCAGTGATGGCTCAGCCTTCTTTCTCATCAAGAAGGCTATAACCCGTGGTACTGCTGTTGTTTTGGTTTAAAGGCAAAAAAAACCCCTTTAATGAAAGTGCATTCCCTTGACATTGTTTCTCATGAAGTGTCACCTGCCACTGGGAAAAACAATAATCAGTTACTTAATTTGGAGTAGAATGAAGCCAGGTGAGCATAGTTGGGTATTTTGAATAGCAGGTATAACTGCCTGTCAAATTGTCCTCCTAAACAAGTTTCAGGCATGGCCATGGCCTATGCTTGGCTTGTGACTATTATGCTGAACTATTTTTGAACTGGGTCAAGAACTATTTCAAAAGAATACTAAACCAGCATCCAAAGCAGCCTGGATGATGGGTGGCAGGTACAGAAGCAGAGAATAAAGCAGAGGAAACTCTTGGTGTAAACCTGAACTAGCCATTCAATCCCAGAAAAATACCGTATATGTTTGAATAAAGTAAGCATCAACTGGATGCAAGAAGGTGCTTCAAAGCAGGAATGGGCAAGCTTTTGTTGCCTTAATTCAAATGCAGGATGGCATTATGAGCCAAGGAGATGAGGCAGCTTTTTAATGAGATGCTGACAGATGTATAGCACATGCTACACCTGCTGCAAAGCATCTTCAGCTTCAAATCTGAAGTGTTGCATACTCCTTGGTAAGTTTATTAAACATGGCAGATATATATATCTGCGGACACACGGGCGGACACACACACACACACATATATATGTGTGTGTGTGTATGTGTGTCTGTGTGTGTTGTATTTGTGCTGATAAATAAAGGGAGACTAGTATAGATCTATTTCAAGCTATTTAGCTCTCATCAGCTAGCCATACCCTTACTGGGATTAGAACTTGTGCTGTATTACATCTTAGGCAGATGTGTTAACCACTAAACCACAAGGTCCTTCTCCGTTATCAGCTGAGCCAGGGAGATAGGTATGTATTAAGTGTTACAACCCCTGGTATGCCCAAATATGGGAGGAAGCCCACTGCTTCCACTCTCTGCCATCGGCTCATCACAAGAGACCATCCAGACAGAAACCCAATATTTTTACTGTTGACTTTGTTACATTTGTGTTGTATTTGTGCTGATAAATAAATATATATAGTGTTCTGACTCCCCTCCATCCGGTGATTTACGCCGACACCGGCTTAGTAATTTGCCACTCTTTCCTTACACAATTACCATCCTGTTGGCTGAAAGCCCAACACGACTCACTGGCAAGGCGTTGGCAGCAACCCAGACTCCCACAGACAAGAGATACAAGACAAACAAGAGCTTCTCCGGCTTGGTATGAACGGTTGTGTCCTGCAAAAGGTCTCCTCCCAAAGTCTCTTCTTATATGCTCTCTTGGGAGGAGCCAAGCCACAACCACCTGGGCTTGATTATCTCTTATGAGTCTGTCTCCGTAACTGTTGCCTCTGTTTCTCTGCCCTTCTTTGCCTGGCATCAGGGACAACCTCCCTTTGATCTTCACCACTGCTCCATGCCTTAGGCGCCTCCTGGTGACCAACCAGCCTCTCTGGTCCCTGCTCGGAGTCTGAACCCTGCCCAGGGTCCTCCACATCTTCCATAGCCGACTCATAGGGGTCCTCGCTATCGGAGTCCATCGGCAGCTCCAACAGCTCCTGCTGGGCCACAACATATTTGTATCTATAGTATTGCATTAGCAGGATTACTTACACCTTTGTCCGATCCTGGAAGAATCTTCAGAGGTTCTCATCTTCTGTTCTATGAACAGGAAAGGCTTTTCGACCATGGATGCTTTAACATCTGTATTTAAAATTCCTCAAATCGTAATATATAGGTTGTTCTTACAACCACAATTGATCCCAAAATGTATGTTGCTAAGCGAGATATTTGTTAAGCGAGTTTTGCCCCACTTTATGACCATTGACTTTGCTTTTCAGAAGTTTGCAAAAGATGATCATACTGCATTGGTCATAAATACAAATTTTTAATACAATTGAAAATAAGTCATATATTTCTTTTCTCCTGAATTAGACTGTTGAAGATATCTTGAAGAAACAGAGCTTACTGAGCTTACTATAATACAGTGCTGAAAGTGTATTTGTGGATTATACATGCGCACAGGAGTATCTGTTAATTCTAAATCTAGGCTTATTTCTTCAGGCTTCTATTTTGTACCTTCCATTAGCTGCTGTAGCTTCATGACTTTTAACCTCAGCAAACAGTATGCAACTTCAGCAGAAGATTAACTCTAAAAGATCCTAGAACCTCACTTCCCTTTCTGATAAAATAACAGACCACCTGTTCCAACAACTCTTGAAAATCATCAGAGATGTCCCTCTCTTCTTGTCCTCTACTATAGGATATAGTATAGGGAGTACAAAGAGTGACCTTTGCATAAAGAGTCAAGATTCTTTACCAAATCAGCAAGACAGAAAATATGGCTTAAGCCTAAGTCATGCAGCAGACACATGCAAAAATGTCTCCAGTAAGTACTTCCCTAATTCACAGCAGTATAAGAGGAAGAAGATAAAGCACAGTCAGACTTGCACGTTTCTTTTACCATAGTGAATCTTAATTTTTAAAAAAAAATAGTTTTAGTTTTAATGTGGGGTAGATTTGGTCTCATCTACATTCCGGAACCACTTAAGATCAAATCAGAAACTTTTGTTTCTGCTTTTAAAGCAACCGCAAGATGCAGTGTTGCATAAAGCCAAAAAACTGTTGTTTTATTGAATAAAATTGTGTGATAATTTACTAATTATATTGATTTGGATCTAAACAGGTATTTTGAAAGATGTTGGTTAAGTTCCATGATCCCTGGACTACTTGCTTCTCTGATCCCACTCCCATGCAAATATTATCCCTTCAGGGCTGAGGAACCATGCCAAGTGAAATGGGTCATGATGTGGATTAGGGTAAAAGGAGGAGATCACAGGACCATGTATGGAATCCTGTTCAACTTTAATCATGAAAATACTTCTTTCTGCTTTTTTCATACCCACTTTCCTAGCCTTCCCCTACTGCAATCCCCCCAAAAAAGTGTATAAAAACTACCATCTCACCACAATGCAGATAAATAAAATTGTCTAAACTACTGAAATATAACTTGGGGACAATAAGAGAAATATCTCTGGCTATGTCTTTACATGAAAGGGCATGCATCGGTGTTCCATAAAATAGCCCTGTTAATAATAAATTCCTCAGGAACCATTTGGTACAGGTTGTCCTTGATTTATGACCACAGTTGAGCCCAAAATTTCCATTGCTAAAGAA